CCCGACCCTCAGATTTCGAGTCGAGCGCCCTAACCACCTGGCCATGCTGGGCCATTTAGGGAGGAGTAAAAAACAAGAAATCGGTATTCCGTTTTATCATGAAATATAAGCTCTTTCTAAAAATCAGAGTGACTCAATTGTCATGTGGATTTACGAAATAAATTACATGAAAAAGCAATCAAATATTTGTTATATAATTACAACACCATCATAGTTTCTATAAATTTTGATGAACCTAAAAAAACAATTTCAAAATTCAACTTGCGTGGAATACGACAACAACAAATTACTGGTGTATTAATCAAATGCTTATAAATTTATTTGTATAAATATATTGAAATCGTGCATCCTGTAACGTTGACAGTACGAGCAGAATTATGTAAACGACACGAAATAAAGTTAAAACAAAATATATTATACTTGCGTACTGACACATAAAACCATTCGAAGGTTTTCTCTTAAAAACTTCTTAAAAGCAAACTATAAGATACAACTATTAAAAACAAAATTAAACCAATACATGCATATAGACTCTTGGATCTCTAAGTAAAATAATCATTCTTGAGAAACATGCGTATCTCGCAGAACTCCAGAATGAAAATAACACTCGGTGGAACTACATTAAGTCATCAATCATATGCTCGTTACCTAGAATTAAGCAGATAAATAAATTAGAAAAAAAAAGCTTAAGTAAAACTATAAAAATATTCGCCTCGAGAAACAGTAAACTAGGCCAAGCAGACTTGGAATAGAAACATGTGAGAGGAAGAAAAAAGGAAGAGTTCAGCCCTGTAGCAGTTCTTGATGTAATCACTTGAAGAATGTCACGGTATACACCACTTTGTCATTATGATGATAGTAACTACAGCTTTAAAAGATATTAGATACATGAAAAAGGCACAGGTCACTACTATATATACATACACATTTAATCAGAAATATACGCATATGTATATTTCAGAATTATTTTTTGAAAGTCTTATATTGAAATCTAGGCCATTACGTAAATTGCTAATACAAAGTATACCCAAATACCCAGTAATAAACAGCCCAGTAGATTATAACTTTAACCATTTTCTCCGTTATCAAGTCTTTTGCAAGCATTAAAACACATTACAGGCAGAAGTTATAACACGATAGACAATCTAAAGACAGTTATAGCCAGTACCCAATTTTTAACGTGTTATCAAAAAACATATAGTAGTTTTAATGATGTCATATACAAATTGATAGACAATACATAACAATAAAACCAAATTTCGAGACAATAAGTAATTTAGGAACTTGGTTCTATAGTTTTATACAGTAATGTTTTGTATAAAAGGTAGGGAAACTCAAGAGGTTTCACTTTATGCCTAAAGTACTGCAAGAAAAAATAACACACAAAATGTAAATTATATTGCTTAGGGTTCATCTGATGTCTCACCTTTTATCTTATCTTATATTTTCACTTGTTATGTCTTATATTTTATGTGTTTCGTGCTATATCGTATCTTTGACATTTCATGTACGTCCCATCTTATTTGCCCTATTTTATGCCTCATTTTTTATTATTTGATATTTCCCACTCATATATCATGTCTTATGATAACCTATTTCTATGTCCAATTTAGGTCATATTTTAAACCCTATCATTTGTTCTATTTTATATACCCCCTGATGAAGTAACTGTGTCTTATGGTATGCCCCATTTAATTTTCCAATTTGCTGCTTAATTTATAAAGAATTTTTTTATCTATGTGTTGTCTTCATATTTTGCATCCATTTTCAATAAATTCTCATTTTTTACAAAGAACTACGACCTGTAAATAAACAGTATAAATATATCGCCAAAAATATTACTTACACTGTACGCTGTAGGCGAAGAGTTCTGCGGCTAAATCAAATGAAACTGGTAGTCGTCCTTGTAAAATATCTTGTTTGACTTGTAAAAAAAACTGGTATCTGTGAAAACGGAACAGTCACATTAATGTATGCAAACCATATATATCTAAATATTTCTTACACAATAAAATGCAACAAAATTTCGTTTTTGAATATTCAGACCATCAATGAAACCTGTGGAAAACTGCAGTGTTAAAGGGAATCAAACTGTACAATATGAACTTCTGATCAAACCAAACTATTTATATAAAACTGAAATAATAATTAATCATGTAAATAATAAATATGGCCCAGCATGGCCAGGTGGTTAAGGCACTCGACTCGCAATCGGAGGGTCGCGGGTTCGAATCCCTGTCATACCAAACATGCTCGCCCTTTCAGCCGTGGGGGCGTTATAATGTGACGGTCAATCCGATGGTAAAAGAGTAGCCCAAGAGTTGGCGGTGGGTGGTGATGACTAGCTGCCTTCCCTCTAGTCTTACACTGCTAAATTAGGGATGGCTAGCGCAGATATCCCTCGTGTAGCTTTGCGCGGATTTCAAAAACAAACAAACAAAATAATAAATGTAATTTATTTTTTCGGTCTACACTGGGGTATGCAATGTCATAAAATAAAAACTAATAACAATTAGAATGTATGAACTCATCAGTTGGATACTTTGGCTGTTGGCGTTTATTTTCGGCCGTAAGCCTAATAATAATTTCTGAGATTTAGCAAACTTGGGATCTGAATGTAACTGGGATCTGTAATTACCAAATATTGTTTAACTCTTGCCCAGTGGTTTTATTTAACGATATATATTTACAGTTCCTAAATAATGAAATATTGAAAGTAAATGATTATAAATGATCACAATTATTTAATTATCACAAAGCTGTAATGCATAAGTTATTCTAATTTGAATTAGTTTTTATCAGGTAAATTTAATTAAAACCACACACACAATTATGATTAAGTTTAAAATACAAAAGGTTAAAACAATTTTATTAAAACCAAATGGTTACAAAAAACCCGCCAATCGTTATAACCCTCTGTGTTTTAAACGTAATTTTTATCTGGTATATCATTTAAAAGCGGTTTCATATATACTTAACACTACCATTTAGAATAAACATTTGGAAGATATTATTCCATGAATCCTCCCAGTGGCACAGCGGTATATCTGCGGACTTACAACGCCAGAAACCGGGTTTCGATACCTGTGATGGGCAGATCACAGATAGCCCATTGTGTAGCTTTGTGCTTAATTACAAACAAACAAACTCGTACTTTTGATTATATACTAGCGCTATTATGTGGCGAACACACAGGAAAAATGTTTGTATAACCTTATAAAACTTAACCAGAAAACAATAAAGGGGAACGAACGTAAATGTAAACGTACTTATGACTCAAATAAAACAGATTCATTACCTGTATGTTCATGACTGATTTCAATCAAATATCTATTCATTTATTTTTTTAAAAAGAGACTTGTTTATTGTTTTATTTGATAAACAAGATTAAAAATTCTCAATTTCCTTACGGCGGTAGATGGCACTAAATGGTAACTACAGGATCATTTATCATCCATTTGTCAGTCGCCCTTTGGCGACTGCAGGGGTCGGTCAGTGCCTGGCCCTTGCCGACGGGTAGAAAGGTAAAGGACAAGGTAGTTATTAATGAGCCTCGTGGGTTATTACAGATCCACATAAACGCCAAGAGCACTTTCACACGGTTTTGTATACTTGATCGACTTGCAAGGCGGGCTTATTAACCTGCCTCCGTAATTAACCGGATCTGACAGAGAATTATGCTTTCTTGAAACCCTGAACGGATCATCAGTGTACTTGACCGTGAAGACAAAAGATGTTAGATCTAAATTGTAAACGTTTTTTTACTTTCAGAATTTATCCGCGGCTATCCTTATTTTCGTATTCCTTTTTGATACTCATGGTGTGGCGAAACAAACAACGCTAACGCTTCTTCGGTTAAAGTTTGATAATATAAAAATATTCATATTACTGAAGGTTCTGTGGAATAAAATTTAGATCCTTTTTGTCCATTTGTTCATCTTTATAATAATAACTTACAAGACGCGATTCTTAAAAGCAATCATTTTATAATTGAAAGATTGTGTGTTTCAGTTTCAAGGATGCCATGCAACGTTTACAAAGTTGATCATTACTACCAACTTCTGTTCATTAACTTCTGCAGAAACAAAGTGTTAATATTTCTAAACAGTGCCGTTAGTCTTAAATCAATATATTGTATTCAAGAACAGAGGCGTCGCTTGGCACTGGCACACGGGGTCTGTGCCCCAATTCTAGTTGACAGTGCCCCGAATCCCCAGTTGGTGTCTTGAAAAGTCAGAATATAAAACCATGATCGATATCATACTGAAACGCCGGAAATTCCCTCGCCGCCTATGGGCCCGAGACCCGAATCTTTTAAGCACCTAGCGACGCCTCTGTTCAGTAAAGTATTTTGGTGTCCTGTGAGACACAATGTGTTCAATAAAGTTACTATGATGAAGCCTATTCGTTCCACGCAGTACTGTGCAGAAGACATTAAAAGGGGAGGTGCTCAAGAAGAAAAAAAAAGGACGTTTTCCAACATTATACGGCAAGCCTTTGTGTGTGTGTTTGTTAGAGGAGACTATGGGTTGCCTCTGGTACACACAGGTTAGAAATTCAAAAGAAGCAAACAGATCCTCTTTTATTCCCATTTAATTGCCCCGCAGTGGCACAGCGGTATGTCTGCGGTCTTACAACGCTAGAAACCGGGTTTCGATACCCGTGGTGGGCAGAGTACAGATAGCCCATTATGTAGCTTTGTGCTTAATTATAAAAAATCTAAAATCTATTTAATTGGTCTTATAAACACTTTTACGATCCAAAACTGAACATTGAATTTTTGCGCATTAACACTTTAATATCACATTGATGGGTTTTTTAATGTAAAGTGCTACAAAGAAACTGTGTTCCAGTTATTTTAAAGCCTAAATCCTATTTTTTTCCTAACAGCTCGCAGTAAGTAAGATGTAGAAATAAGTGTATCTTTTCGTAGTTACTGACAATTTTTATGACAAAGAAAAAATTCTGGGGCAGGAAGGTAGGAGCTTGAACCAATCCAGCCCCCTGTACACATCACTGCTTCCAGGAGATGAGTTTGTAGTGTTTTTGACCCGGTTTGTTTGTAATTAAGCACAAAGTTACACAATGGGCTATCTATGCTCTGACCACTACGGGTATCGAAACCAGGTTTCTAGCGTTGTAAGTTCGAAGACAAAACACTGTGCCACTGGGGGGTATCTGACCCGGACAAGAAACAATGTTCAATAGGGATAATGCAGTGAAGCATATCCTTTCAGGAGGTTGATTAAATGTTCAAACACCTGATAAATCTTATATTACATGTTTCTTTGTTGTTAAGCCTAAAGCTACACAATGGGCTATTTGTGCTATGCCAATCACTGGTATCGAAACCTAGTTTTTTGCGTTACAAAGCCTTTAGACTTACTGCTGAGTCACTGGAAAGTAACCGCTACAGGTCGCGAAAGAACATTGTCTGTCTTCTGTCGAAACATGTTGTAAGTTCTCCAAAATAAAACTTCATTATGCTTATAAATCGTTATTTGTCAGTTTATTATTATATTAGCATAAACTTACATATATAAGTAATTTCTTCTTCTAACGAGACTAGAATAAAGGTGTCCAAACAGATCTAATAATACTCCTAGGATATCTTCAAACAGAGAAATACATTTGCTAAATTTATAGCATGAATAAATATATTGTCAGATTAACCCTATGCTTGTACCTACGCCCCCCCCCCCAAAAAAGAGAGAAATATAAGCATATGATTTTTGCACCGTCTCATCATAAGCATTACTTTGATGTAGCACATATTTCACATTATCATAAAAAAACAAAAAACTTTACCATTTCTAACATTTTATTAAAAAAAATAATGTTTGGATGGTAATAAAATTTCGAATGGCTTCGTATGATAGTCTGCTCAATAAAAGAAGTGCAGCATATAAAATAATAAATAGTGAATAGTTGTTGTTTGTTATTAAGCACAAAGTTACACAAAGGGCTATCTGTATCGAAACCCGGTTTCTAGCAGTACAAGTCCGCAGACATACCGCTGTGCCACTGGGGGGCAATAGTGAATAGAAAACTTCTGCAAGATCTAATCATCATATCTATGTGCTTTTATTTATTAATTTTTGCCGAGCTATTCCTTAGCCTTTGTTAGACAAGAGTAAAATGCAAGAAGAAGCTGTTGTCTCTCTATCAGTGTAACGTAGAATAGTTTAAAATATGCAGATCTAGGATAAAATCAAATTTGTGTGGTGGCGGAGCGCATGATTGTGGGAAACGATGTTTTGTTTAGAGCATGGTGAGACAGCAATACAACTTGATGTACAAATTGGCACACACACAAAAAAAGAACGAGATTGTTTATTACTTGTTATAGCTTATCATCTCTCACAAATTTGTTTATCTGATTTTAGTTGAAATTATTTTGTATTAACTACTTATCACCTCCGCCACCGAAAGTGGACGGGGGTTATGTTTTCCCCCTGTGTGTATTTGTCAGCAACATTTTTCGAAAACGGCTGAATGGATTTGGACGAAAGTTGATATTTTGAACTATAACCCAACTTATAAGTGATTAGTTTTTGGAGGGTCAAGGTGAAAGATCTCGAAAATCCGAAAAATCCCTATTTGTTAACATGGAGACCGATTTGTTCACACTATGTTTGCTCTGTAACTCAGTCAAAAATGATCGGATTTTGATCAAACTTGGATGTACGTAGAATATTATTCCTCATTGTCCTGCCAAAATCGATCCGTATCCGGTGATAACGACGGACATATTTTCTTGTGTTTTGAAAGCCGAATATGATCAACGCTGCGTGATGGAGGTACACGCTCTATTGAGTGCCCCTCTAGTTCTATTTGTATTGACGCGAGTGTTTACTGGTTTTTAATACCAACAGTGACAATTCGTGTATATGCTCTGTGCCACAAACTTAATTACCATGAAATTTACTGTTATTAAGGTTCTT